ACCTTAAATCATATCAGGGATCCCACCCTAAACCCTAAACCCTAAACCCTACCTGAACCCTAAACCCTAAACCCTAAACCCTAAACCCTAAACCCTAAACCCTAAACCCTGAACCCTAAACCCTAAAAGGTATATTCCTTAATTAAGGGATATTGGAGTCTCTGGCTCTCGGCATGAACTGAGGAAATGTATGACCTAAGGAGAAAAACCTAGTCCAGGGTTTGGGTTTAGGGTTTAGGGTTTAGGGTTTAGGGTTTAGGGTTTAGGGTTTAGGGTTTAGGGTTTGGGGTTTAGGGTTTAGGGTTACGCTTTCGTTGCAGAGCCAAAAGAACCGAGCTGGCACACCTTTCCGCCATAGAGACCCCCAGCGGCGAGCCCTGAAGCACCGGGGGCCTTCGCGCGCAACCCTGATGTACGGGCACCTCACTTGGAGGGTCATGGGTAGTTATAAATGGGGTTATAAGTAGGGTAACTATACTTATAGCCCATATTCAGGGACGTATAACACCACTGATAACTACCCATGAACCTCCAAGCAACCCCTGTCCTAAACCCGAAACCGCCGTTAGCAGTTTCCTAAACCCTAAACCTAACCCACAGCCCGGAAGGCAATCACGAAAGAAACGGCTTCCTGCCTGGTGCCATTGCCCTCGAAGTAGACCTGCCCGGGAGTTGGCCCAAGACCCCAAGTGCACAGGAAGCCCAAGCCGCTTCTTCCTCGAAGTAGAATCCTATAGGGGCCTCAAAAAATTAGCATAGGGTGTCGGGGTATATTATACTATATTTATACTGAGGAACCCTCAAAATAGTGTAGCTAACTATTGTGTTTAAAATGAGGAACCCTTAAAATAGTGTAGCTAACTATTGTGTTTAAAATGAGGAACCCTCAAAATAGTGTAGCTAATTACCCATGTTGTTTGGTCCCAAGGGCTTGGGGGTCAAAACTGTGAAGGGCATCGCGGCTTCGAGGTTTAGGACGTTCTGTCGTGAAATATAAGAGAGTGCGGCGGAATCCTCTCAACTCGGTTTAGGGGTTCAGGGTTTAGGGTTTAGGGTTGAGGGGTTTAGGGTTTAGGGGTTTAGGGGTTTAGGGGGTTAAGGGTTTAGGGTTTACTCAGAATTTCAGGGGATCTAGAGGCAGGAAGAAGGACGCTCAAGCACGTAAATCTCTATGAGCGGCTTAGCCTTTGGATGACTACAGTTCCAGGGGGCTTCTGCAACTGAGGAATACACCTGACCTGAAGATCGTTCTTAACGTTGGAAGGGCTGGAGGCCCTAAACCCTAAATAAACCCTAAACCCTAAACCCTAAACCCTAAACCCAGGGGCTTCGTGGAAGGGAACGCAAACGGGGATCGAGCTCTTGGGTACATGGCTCTAGTCTCAAGGCTTCGGGCTTCGAACTTTTCACGGGGATGGTCAAGCATCTGCGGCTTGCTGTGAGCCGGGAACGTGGAACTGGCTAATGTAGGGGCCTTAAAAATTAGAATAAGGTTTTGGAGCCCATTATACTATATTTATAATAAGGAACCCCAAAACAGCATTGGTAATTACTGAGGCCCTTATATCAGTTGCAGCAAGAGCGCACATCGTGCTCAAAAACCCCGACAACCACGCTGCGGAGATTATCGCGTCAACGAACACAATTGCAGAATCTTAACTCCGACTCCCTCAACGCTATGCCCCAGAGGTGCCCAAGCTTTACAAAACTGCGACCTAAAGCGTAAAAAGAAAACGGGCTTAAGTTCAAAGCACTGGGCCTGCAGTGTGTATTCTGCCCCGTAGGGCAAGTTGCAAAACACGAGGCCGAGCGTCTCGTCTGCGCCGGGTTGAACATGGAGGTGCTTGGGCTATGGGCCTGAGGTTCCTTCTGCTTCAGGGCGTTCAGGCTCTAGGCCTCTATTGTACTTGGAAGTTCATGGGTAGTTATAAATGGGGCTAGGGTTTAGGGTTTAGGGTTTAGGGATTAGGGTTTAGGGTTTAGGGTTCATGGGTAGTTATAAGTGGGGTTCTAAGTAGGGTAACTCTGGTTATAAGCCACATTGGGGGGGACTTATGACCCCACTTATAACTACCCATGAACCCTCCAAGGAGAGCAGGCGACTGGTATGCTTTTTTGAATCCGTCCCTTCGTTCCCTCTCCCGGCCCAAAGCAAAGGGGAGCCGAGCTTCAAACCCCAGAACCCTAAAGGGTTTAGGGTTTAGGGTTTAGGGTTTAGGGTTTAGGGTTTAGGGTTTAGGGTTTAGGATCCCACAATTTAATCCAAAGCCCTTAAAGCTGTCTACTTCGAAAAAAGAGCAGAGTCCAGGGGGCCCTACTTGGAGGTTCATGGGTAGTTGTAATCTGGGTTATAAGTATAGTTACCCTACTTATACCCCATTTATCACATGAACCTCCAAGTAGCTTCTAAACGCCCTAAACCCTAAACTCTAAGCCCTAAACCCTAAACCCTAAAAACCTAAACCTTAAACCCCAAACCCTAAACCCCAAACCCTAAACCCTAAACCCTAAACCCTAAACCCCGAACCCTAAACCCTAAAAACCCAAACCCCAAACCATAAAGGCGGCCCCCCTCTGAGCACCTGGGAGCGTGATCGCATCGGCCAGGTCCTGGCAGCTCGCGGGCCCGACGGCACCGGCTCCGCTCTTCATCTCCTCAAAGACTTTAGGGTTTAGGGTTTAGGGTTTTAGGGTTTTAGGGTTTAGGGTTTAGGGTTTAGGGTTTAGGGTTTAGGGTTTAGGGTCTGGTGCTTAGTAGGGA